CCTGCTCCGCCTCCCCCCGCGTGCCTGGAGGTTGCTGGGGGGGGCCGCGGCGTCCCTCTGCTGCCCCTTACCCGGCGGGCCTGGAGGTTGGTGGGGGGGGAGGCTTGTGGGGTCCCTCTGCTCCTCCTTTCCCTGTGGGGCTGGACCCGCGGCTCCCCTCAGCTGCCCCTTACCCGGCGGGCCTGGAGGTTGGTGGGGGGGGAGGCTTGTGGGGTCCCTCTGCTCCTCCTTACCTGGCGGGCCTGTGACTGTTAAGCCATATTGCTGTCACTGGCCACTAGCCATTGCTCTCCCTAGTGCCTGTTAATGCAGAGTACCTCTCATCAGCCATGTCTTCGCTATTTGTTCTACAGAGTTACTAACCCAGTTTTTTCCCCAGTGTTTTCTTCCAGGTGCTGTTTTCTAGATCTTCTGACCCTGGATCACTGTGGTCTAGAACTGAAGAAGTATGGGTAAAAGGCGGCTGCTTGTCTTCCCTTGTATCTTCTGCCATTTATGACCTTCAGAAGGTATAGCTTCTCCTTTCCGCTCCTTAGTGTCTGCTGTCCCTGACGCCGCTGTTATAGGATTTAGGCACTCTGTTCTCCCTTTCATTCCCTCTTGCTCGTTATGCGGTTTAACTGCTCCTTTGCCACCTTCCCTTCCTACTTCTCAAGTCCTTCTTCAGTATAGCTATTCCTTGCTCCTTTAACCCTTTCCTACTGTTTGTGTCATTAGGAGCTGTAGCCATCCCTTTCCTCGCCTTTTCCATTTATCTCCTGTTAAGTGCCTGTTAGTAGGGCTTTTCCTTCCTTTCACTCTGACCATTTTGCAGTATTGTTACCCTTTCCACTCTTTTCCGTCTCTGCTTCTTCTTCCTATTGCACATTAGGCAATTTAGCAACCCCTTTATTATGTTCCCATTTGCTGATCTTCATGCTCTTCACAAACCTAGCTGTCACTTCCTCCCCTTTCACCTTTTTCATGCTGCATTGGGTGTTAGGCAGCGTAGCCTGACTTTGCAGCTCCTCAGTCTCTGCTTTCTAGTTAGTGCAGGCTGTGCAGCACATCTGCCGCTTTTCCCACTTTTGTCCTCTGCTGCCCTTCTTATCTGTCCTGTAGCAAAACCACCGCTTTTCTCTTTCTCTTACCTGGTGTGCCCACTCCATGTTATGCAGTATGGCTGTCCATTTGCCCCCATTTCGTTCTCGGCTACCTATGGTGTCCTTTATGTAGTAGAGCTGCTTGTTTTCCTCTTTTCACAATGAGCCATGGTTAGTACCCATTGTTACTGAGGAGGGGGAAAGGGCAGCAATACTGAAAACAGCCAGTCTGGCTTGGAAGAGGGTAATATGGGGAAGCCCATTTTTCATAACGGGCACTATGTGGGCAACAACATGGTGCAGGAAGACCCTTCATTCTACCCATGGTGTGGTGTTGGGCTTTTTACTGCCCCTTTCGGCACCCCATCCTTTCCTGACTCTCGTTCTCTTTGATGAAGTGAACATGCCTTTCTCTTCTTGAGCCTCTGCAGTCCTTAGTTCCCAGTTGGCAGTATAGCCGCTCCTTTCTCCATTTCGCTTGCTTCTGCCTCTCGTTCCCTTAGTGCTATATAGACACCCCTTTATCTACCCTACCTGTTAGTGAGTACTGTGCGGTATAGCTGTATTGCTGTCCTCCTGTCCCAGGCATTGCTGCCCCTAGTGCCCATTAGTTGTACTGTTGTCTGTGCCTTCCCCAACTATTGCTGATCCTAGTAGCAATTGGGATGCATTGCTGTCCCTGACATGCCAATGTCATTGCTGCCCCCTAGAGGCCACTTGCTTATATTGCAGTCTGTCGTCCCTAGCCATTGCGCCCCCTTGTGCCTGTTAAGCTGCATTACTCTCTCTGGTTTCTCCAGCTATTTCTGCACTTAGTGCCCATTGGGCTGTACTGCTGTCCCTGCCCCCACAGCCATTGCTGCTCCATGTCCCTGCTGTCCGTGACCCTCAGCCTTTGGCATCCTAGTACCCATAAACCTGATTTACTGTCTCTGCCCCTATTACCGATTGATGTCGTTTACATGATCCTTTCCACCCGTTCACCTTCTTTTCCTCCAGATTAAACAAACTCATATCTTTTCTTCCTTTCTTTGTAGGTGCTGTTACTTTGCCCTTGCAGCCATTTCTGAAGTTCTTCTCTGGACGATACACAGTTTCCCAACACGTTGAATAGAATGTGTTCCCCAGAATTAGATGCTAGAGAAATGGACAGCTGTACACTATGGACTGGAATAGAAGAATTATGGTAAGGCTAAAACTTTGCTGGCCTTACTCCTCCTGTCACAAAAGCTTTCTCTTCTCCTTTCATACTATGCCGCCAGTAGAATGTGCGGAGGGGTAAAACGGTAACTTATTCTTCATAATGGACACGAAGAGCAGTGGTGTAGTGAGGAGGCCTCATTCCCCTCTTGAACTCTCTGCTGCCTCTAGTATCCGTTAGGTAGGATAAGTCACCCTTTGCCTTTTCCAACCAGTGCCGCCCCCTACTGGCCGCTGTGTCGCATGGCCTTCTGCCCCCCTCCTCCTGCTAGCGCCCATTGTGGGGGAATGACGTCCGTTCCCCTTTCAGTTTCCTGCTCTGAGTGGTGCCTCTTAGGCATTAGAACGGCTTCTTTCCCCTCCTCCGTCTGCTAGCTCTAATGCTCGTTGGCTCTGAGGAGGGGAAAAGGCAGATGTGTACTGCATAACAGCCAGAATGCCCTGGAGAGGGACTTAAGCGGTGGGCGATGGAGCTTAGTGGGCACTGGGAGCAGCAGCGTACTGTGGGAGACTTTCCCCTTCTTAACTCTCTGCTGCCCCTAGTGTCCATTGGGGAGTGTAAGTGACCCGTCCCTTCTCCAGCGGTGCCCCACCTAGTGGCCAGAGTGAGGTAAACCCTTCCTCTCCCCCCAAATCCCTGCCCCAGCCTCTTTAGTGTCCATTATGCAGGGTAGGCCTCCCTTTTCCCGGGCCTCTTTAGTGTCCATTATGCAGGATAGGCTTCCCTTTTGCACTTCTCTGCCCTCAGTGGTACCTCTTAGGCATTAGAAACAGAACTTCTCACGTAGGACTGCCCCGAGTGCCCCCTTAAGGCAGCATAAAGGTCCCTATTGACCCTCCTTGCCCTTTTCCTCACCCCCCCCTTCTTCCTATGTGTCACGACTCGGCGCTCTCTAGTGTCCGTCGCGAACTCTGGCGGTTCTTTTCCCCGCTTTCCCCTCTGTTGCCTTGATTTCCCCTTGAACTGTATAAGCGTCCCCTTCTGTCTGCTCAGTTTTTGCCCCTCCTCCCCGTTATGTAGGAAAGCTGATGTCCTTCGTCTCTTGTAGCTGTCTCTCCCTGCCCCTCTGCTCCTTTCTTTCTATTCTTCCTCCAATGCCCCCATTGTTCCCAAATGTCCTCCAAGTCACCATAAATCTCTGTAGTAATCCTCTGCTGTCTCCGATACCACTTTCGAAGCGTAAACATCCTTTTCCCCCTTTCCTCTCTCTTGCCCCTAGTGTCCATGGAACATATACTCCCTCCTTCCCCATTTTCTTCCTCACTGTGCAGTATTGGCACCCTTTCCCCTCCTGAGTCGGCTACTTCTAGTGCCCATTGGTGTGGATTTCGCAGTACCTTTACCGTCTGCTGGCTCTTCCTCTCCTTCTTGCTGTCTGCATATCCCTAGTGCATGTTTTTCAGCCTAGCCTTCTCTGCTTTACACTGCGCCTGTCCTCATATCCTTCTTTCCATGTAGCTGTCTCTCCCTACCTCTCCGCCCCCTTTCTTCCTTTGCTTTCTCCAGTGGGCATTATTCTGCACAGCCTACTTTTCAGCTCCTCGCCCTCTGTTGCCTCAGTGGACTTTGTTCAGTGTAGCCGCCATTTTCTCCCTTTGCCATTAGGAAGTGTTAGCGAAACCTCCCCTTCTCAAACAGTGCTGTCCCCTGCTGGCCATTGTGAAGCATGACCTTCCTTCTGCCCTGTCCTCCCTCTAGTGTCCATTATGCGGGAATAGCCGACCCTTTCCCTTTCCCTTTCCTGCCCTCAGAGGTGCCTTTCATGCAATAGAAGTGCCTTTTCCCCCTCTTTCACTTTCCACTGCTCCTAGTGCCCATCAGGGCAGCATAAGTGGTTCTTGTGATCCTCTCCTGCCCCTGCTACCTCTTACAAAGTGTAGATGTCTCTTTTCCCCTTGCCTGTCTGTTGCTCCTTGTGTCCATTGTGCTTGTAGTCCCTTCTTTCTGCATAGGTGCTCGCTTCTAGATTTTCAGCCAGTTTTCTTCTTCTCCGGGCTTCCTGTAGTTTCTTAAGATGGAACGTGATTCCCAGAACTTAATGCGATAATGGAATTGGCGCATAATCACTGTGGACGACAGCAGAAGAATTGTGGTAAGGCTTCCCTTATCCTTCCTTACTCTTCCTGCCATTTGTGCCCATTGAGATATAGATGCCCCTTCCACTCTATGGCATTTGCTACCTATAGTGTCTGTAATAGGATGTTTCCACCCTTTCCCTCATCCTCTCTTGCCCCTATATTCAGGCATGCAGTGTAGCTTCTCCTTTCCCATTTTCCCTTTTTGCTGGCTCTCATACCCTTCCACTGCGTAACTGCCGCTTATTCCTTTTAACCACCCTCTGCTGCTCCTGCCATCCCTTTCCCCATGTTCCCACTTTATTCCCTCTATAGCACGTAGCACCCATTATTCGGTATGTCTCTTCCTTCCCCCATTCCTTACTCTTAGTGCTCATTTTGCAGTATTGCTGTATTTTCCCTTTTTCCGTCTCTATTTACACTTATTGCATGTGAAGCAGTTTAGCCACCGCTCTCCCCCTTGATTGTTTGCTAACCTTGATGCCTTTCATAAAATATGGCAGCCACGTTTCCCCTCCGCCTCCTTTCTCCCTCTGTATTATAGATTGCGTCCTTTTCCCCCTTTGCTCTCTCCTTTCCCTCAGGCCTTTCCTGAATTACTTAGATTCCCCCCTATACCTTCGATTTCTCTGGTGCCTATTATACAGGTCAGGGATTTTGTTCCTCTCTGCGCATTCTTCTGCCCGTATTGCCCATTATGCTCCATAACCTCTCCTCTCCACACTTGCCTCCTCTCCTGCCACATCCGTCCTTGATCCTCAGCTCTCTAGTCTTTCTGAGATGATATAAGCACCCCAGTAGCCTTGTTGCTCTCAGCTTCACTCTAGTGGCCCTAGTGAAGCATAGCCTCTCTTCTCCTCCTACTGTCCATTAGGGAAAATGGACGCCCTTTTCTCTTACACATGGTGTTCTCCACAAAATGTCAATAAAGTACTAGACATGCTCTGTTGCTGCTTTCACTCTCCATGGCCCATAGTGCCCCCCAGGTCAGCATAAACCCATTATAACCTTTGGAGCCTGGCGACGTCTTACGCGGCTTTACTGCCGCCTTCCCCCTCTCTCTGCTTCCCCTTAGGCCCTTCGTACATTATATAAGTGTTTTTCTCTTTCTTTCTCTCTCTCTTCCCTACTCTATAGACCCCATTAGAAAGCCCAGCCACTCGGTTGCTCTTTCTTTGCCTGCTTCTGTATCTATTACCCGTTAGCCTCCATAGCCAACCCTTTCTTCCACTCCTCCCCCTACGACCTTTCCGGTCGTTAACCACCCCAGAGCTCCTTGATGTCCCTAATCCCTCCTCTACACCTTGCCTGCCCCTTAGGCAGCCTTGTTCCCTTTTCTCCCACCTCCCTCTCTGCTTCCCCGCAGGTCTTTGTGCAATTTACAGGTTGCCCCTATCTTTTTTGGTCTTTTCCCATTGTCTTTCTCTTTCTCCACTCTGTCCCCTAGAGATGCTCCGTCGTGGCCACAGAGAAGTACGGCCTTCCCTCTTCCCCTCTTTTCCTATTGAGCTCCTCGTGCCCATTAGGCATAGTGGGCACCATTATTGGTCTATCCACAGCGCCTCTTAGGTGTTAGGAGTGCCCTGTCCCTGCTTTATCTCTCTGCTGCCCTAGCGCCCACCAGGGCCGCTTAACCCCCTGGAATCCTCTTGTGCCCCTGGAGCCCCTGAGGCAGCTCTCTCTGCAGCCCTAGCGCCCACCAGGGCCGCCTAACCCCCTGGAATCCTCTTCCGCCCTTAGAGCCCCTGAGGCAGCCTTTGGTGCCTTTTCCCCCTTGGTCTCTCTCCTCCACCTCAGGATCTTGAGGCGTTGAGCATTTCATCTTCTCCGGCACCTAATGCCCAGCACATTGCTCGGCCTTTCTTTGCCACCCTCTGCCTCTGTTGCCTATTAGCCTGCATAGCCAGCACGTTTACCCCTTGACTCTTCTCTTCCCCTACGGCCTTTTAGGGCATTGACCTCGCCCGTGCTTCCTGTGTGTGAGGAGACTTAAGGATTCCTTTCAGCTTCCTTTGCTCTGCAGCACCCTAGTGGCTACTGTGAAGAACAGCCTTCTCTCTTCCCCTCTTTTCCTATTCTCCTCCTAGTACCCATTAGGCAAAATGAAGGCCCTTTTCTCTTTGACATTGTGCTGTCCGCAGTGCCACTTAGGTACTAGACATTGCCCGTCGCTACTTTCGCTCTTTATAG